GTACGTACATACATACGTACATATATACATACATACATATACATACATACGTACATATGCATACATAAGTACATACGTACATACGTACATATATACGTACATACGTACATACATACATACGTACATACATACATACGTACATACATACATACATACATACATACGTACATATATACATACATACGTACATACGTACATGTATACATACATACATACATATACATACATACGTACATATGCATACATAAGTACATACGTACATACGTACATATATACGTACATACGTACATACATACATACATACATACATACATACATACATACGTACATGCATACATACATACATACGTACATATATACATACATACGTACATACGTATATGTATACATACACACATACATATACATACATACGTACATATGCATACATAAGTACATACGTACATATATACGTACATATATACGTACATACGTATGTACGTACATACATACATACATAGAAAATCAGCTTATGGCTCTGCAAATTTGCTCAATTCTGCATTAATATTATATATTATATGATCTTTTTCAGAGTCAGAGATTCTTTATTGTCATTCGCACCTCATGTGGTACATGTGGTGGAGCGAAATTATGTACACTGGGTCCCAGTTACATCCAACAATAAAATGTCTAAGAAAAACAGTAATAACATCTAAGATATGAACTAAGAAAAACATCAACTAAATATACACTAAGCACTCATAATATAAAACATTGAACACCAGCACAAACATGAACATGAGTCTGTGAGCAGATGAGCACGCATGAACACATCAACATTGAAACAGATCAGCAGCAACATGAAACAGATCAGCAGCAACATGATGTGTTTTTTTTCACAGTGATTATTCTAGTTAGAGATTCATGAGTCTAACAGCTTCAGGGTAGAAGCTGTTCCTCAGTCTAGTGGTTCTACAGTTAATGCTCCTCAACCTCCTTCCTGAGGGGAGTAGGGCAAAAAGTGTGTGCTGGGTGAGTGAGGTCCTTCATGATGCAGGTGGCCCTCTTCCTGCATCTGGAGGTGTAAATGTCTGTGATGGTGGGGAGACTGATTCCAACAGATTTATGTGCAGCCTTCACCACTCTCTGCAAAGCTTTTCTTTCTGCAGCTGTGCAGCCTCCATGCCACACGTTGATGCTGGAGCACAGGATGCTCTCCACTGCACACCTGTAGAAGGAGGTGAGGACTGAGCTTCCAGACCAGCTCGTCTCAGCCGTCTGAGGAAGTAGAGTCTCTGATGAGCTTTCTTGATCAGGCTGGTGGTGTTGTTGCTCCAGCTGAGGTTGTCATTCATGTGTACACCCAAGTACTTGTAGCTGGAGACCACTTCCACCGCAGATCCTCTTATGTTCAGGGGGGTGAAAGTGTTTTTGTTCCTTCTGAAGTCCACAATCATCTCCTTTGTCTTCTTCACATTGATGTGAAGGTTATTCTCTCTGCACCAGCTCTCCAGGTGTTCCACCTCTTGCCTGTAGCTGGACTTATCATTGTTTGTGATGCATCCCACCACAGCTGTATCATCTGCAAACTTTACAATGTGACAGCCTGGATGGGAAGCTGCACAATCATATGTGAGCAGAGTAAACAGGAGGGGGCTCAACACACATCCCTGAGGAGAACCAGTGCTGAGGGTCATGGTGGAGGAGGAGAAGTTGTGGATCCTCACTAACTGTGGTCTGTGTCTAGTACCCAGTTGCAGATGGAGGGGCTTAGTCCTAGTGTGGATAGTTTGTCCATCAGGGTTTGGGGGATCATGGTGTTGAAGGCGAATGTGAAGTCCACAAAGAGCATATGGACGTAAGAGTTTTTCTGCTCCAGGTGGTTGAGAGCAGTGTGGACCACAGAGGAGATGGCGTCCTCTGTTGATCGGTTCTCATGGTATGCGTACTGATGAGGGTCCTCGTTGATGTTGATGGTTGTTTTGATGTGGGACATAACCAGTTTTTCGAAGCATTTAGCGACTATCGGGGTGAGGGCCACTGGCTGATAGTCATTCAGACCAGTCACGGTAGAGCTTTTTGGGACTGGGATAATTGTGGCAGTCTTCAGGCAGATGGGAACTGTCTCCAGGGTAAATGAGGTGTTAAAGATGTCTGCCAGCACCTCGCAGAGCGGCACATTCCTTCAACACTTTTCCGGGGATGTTGTCTGGGCCGATTGACTTGTGTGGATTAATCCTTCCTAAAGTGCTCCTTACTTCGGCTGAGGTCACGCTGAGGTGAGTCTGGTGCTTGGTGGTCTGTTCAGGTCTTCAAAGCATGCATACAACTTGTTGAGGGCATCAGGCAGAGATGGGTCTTTGGGACATTTGTTTGCTCCTGACTTTATAATCTGTTATGCACTTAATGCCCTTCCACATGCTCCGAGGGTCTTGTGAGATGAATTAACCCTCAATCCTCTGTGCATATGTGGCCTTGTCCTTCTCCGCTCCTGTGAGTTTCCAGAACTGAAGGCAGTGTTCCTGACTTCCAGCAGGGTACGCACCTCTGCATTCAGCCAAGGTTTTCTGTTTGGGTAGCTTTTAACATTTCTGATAGTGGAGACGCTGTCAGTACATGTACTAATGTAACCCAGAACTGAGGATGTGTATTGGTC